TTCACAATATAAAAATAAAAAGAAAAATTCATAGTAAAAAAAATAAAATAATTGTTGAGTCATAAAAGGAGGGATAAGAGTAACAAATTCAAGGGAAGGAGAGAGTTCGCAGTTTTTATGCTGAGAGGGTTCTTCCCCCAACTAAGATCCATTTTCATCTCATTCTACTCACAGAAACCCTAACAAATTCATCTTATATATATATATATATATATATTGTAGAGATTATGATATCAATTTCATCTTTCACCTTTTTCTTTTCTTGACGTGTGTTATAAAAAAATTACCACTTAAAAGTTGAAATTTCAAGCATTTTTTTTGTTATATAAAGGAACAAATTCAACTACATAGAATAAAATAAAGCAAGTCAATTGAAGAGAACGAACAGAAAAGTAAAGCAAGTCAATGACACTATTATTTACATATCAGAGTTTCACAAAATAGGGGAATGGGATGAGAACAGTACTACAATATTATATATGAGCAATGAATAATAGTGTAGTATTATTAGTAGAGAAAAAATGGAGAAGACAGAAGCATTGAAAAAAAAATGAAAAACTCACTTGAAAATTCTTGAAACACTTGAAAAATCACTTCAAACAATCCTTCAAAATCTGATGGGTTTGGATTAGATTGTTTTATGAATATGGTATTTATAGATAACACTAGAAAGTCCTTCAAAATCCCTCTCACACAACAATCCTTTAAAATCCTTATATTTTTGAATACCAATAGATTGTTTTTAAGTTGTAAAAAATCTCAAATGAATACAAGTAGATTTTAATGGACTCTTTAAAAAATCTTGAAATTCCAGATTGAATATCACTGGATTGTTTTTAAGTGACATAAAATCCTGATTGAATACCAATGGACTTTTTTACTCAAAAAAGAGTCTTTTAAAATTCTACGAAATCCTAAACAAATACACCCCTTTAAGAGACTATAAATATATTTAAATCTATTTAATTTAACGTTAACAAAACCTTCAAGTTAGATATCGTAAAATCTTATGCTTAACCTTAATAAAACCTTCGCGTTAGATATAATGTTATACTTTAATGTGTTATTAGTTGTATTGGTTAGAAGTTGTAATTGGCAAGAACAAAATTTTTAAGGTTGATGTTTTTATAAGTCTTTTAAAATTTGGATCGATTATTAACCTGATTAATGTATTGAGTTTAATAACCAGTTAAGCTATTAAATTAATAATTAGATTGCATAAACTAATATACACAGTATATATTAAATATAAAATTTATATGTAAAAATATGTATATAAATACAATTTGCTGCATATATTCTAAAATTTGCATTGGTTTAGTGACTGTGAAACATGTAACAACATACAGGACACTATCTTATCCCTAAACTCTTTTATTGCTTTATATGCTAATGTTTTTTTTATTTAAATTGTTTATTGGGATAGAGTTTAAGATCTATTTCTTTTCATCTCTTCTTGCTAATCGATTATTTGTAAATAAGTTTTGGAAAGCAAAATACTTCCACTCTTTTTTAGCTATATGGATCGTCATTTGGTTAACTGAATAATGTTTCATAATATGATTTGCAGAATGTATTAATTAAATACATTTTGGAAACTTGTTTCTAGAAGTGTTAAAATTTTAATAATCAGAAAATTAATTTCTAGAAGTTTGCATCAACCTTTGTTGAAATAATTGATAGGTGTGAGAATGGCATCAACATTTTTTATTGAAAAGTTTTTGTGAAAACAAACATCACTTTAAGTAAATCTCAAAGGATCCAAATGATGACTTGCGACTTCAAACATTTCCCACAATGGATGCACCACTGAGCTTTTCAACATCATTGTCCTCTTTTTTAGTTGTAGTAAACCTTTTAACTTTGTTTCATCGACCATGTGTTAATATAGTAATGACACCCGTAGGCCATGGCATTGGAAGTTAGCACCCCACAACACTATTGCCACAGGCCCACAGCTCATTCCACAATCCATGGATAATTAATTGTTCCTCAAAAAAATATTGTAATTCATCCGATAACAAGTCTTATTTTACAAGCTTCTGTTTGCGGAAGGTTAAATGTTTCAACACATTTTAGAAATTTCGAATTGCTTGTGCTAATAATTTAATACTTTTGAAAATTAATTTAGGAACATTTAATCAGTAAACAAATGATTCCATAACTTAATTCATGAAAATAATAAGTTAAAAGACAAAACGCAATTGCCAGAACACAAAGGAGAATCCAAACAAACTCTTACATGATATTCTAGTTATCAAAAGTTAATGAGAAGAGGCAACTACGGTCCAATCAATCTAATGACATTTTTTTTAAATTTTTTTAAAAAGGGTCAACTTGCCCCATTTGAAGATGAAAAAAGGGCTCATTTTAGCCCAATAAGGGAAGGAAATTGGCCCAATTTGAAATTTGTTAGGAAATGTTTGAAAAATCGATTGCAAATGTATAATAAAAAGTTTGCAAAATGTATAATAAGAACTTCATAATTAATCATCTTTCACTTAAAACAATTTAGTGATTAATGATCTAGAAAGTTTTTTTTAGAAAATGTGAATGATTACGAAATATAATGAAAAATTTTATGTTGATTTAGGAGGACAATCATCGATCTTAAAGATGATTGACAATTTCAAAAAGAATTATTCATGGAGTATTTTGTTCAATACAATTGTGTGAAATGTCATGATGATTGTCAAATATGTCAATATCTTTTATCCAGATTAGGCAATTGTCTAGCATAGTGTGATGACTATGGTGTCACATAATATATATTGTTGAATCTCAACACTAAAGTTGAGTGTTATTATATGTCAAATAAATTTATAATTACATATATTATATTTATAATAACACTTTTTATATGTCACTATTATATGTAACATTTCTTGTAGTGCTTAAATGATAATTTATTAAATAGTTATTTAATATATGGATGTACATGTATAATTAATTATGTATTACATATAATTAAGATATCCAAAAGATGATCCATTTTATTATTTTAGATATAAAGATTGGAAGACCGAATATATATACCTCAAGATGGTGTTTCATCTGTACTATCTCCTTACATTTACTATAAGCAATTACTTTAGCTTCGATTTTGATAATAATTTATTTATTTTTAAATAAAAAAAAGTGCTCACACTAAAGAGAACTGGGCATGGTCGAACAATTTGATGTCCGACTGCTTGCAAATAGTCCCTAATTGAAGTAAAGGCTTGCAAATATTTGGTTAACAATTTGGGTAGGGTGATTATCAAAGAAAAGATGAGTGTTCCTGTTTGGACAAGGAACATCATTGGGACGGCATTGGAGATCACCATAAATGGTATTGGGACAGCAAGGTTTCCATGTTTCCAGAATCCCTGCAAAGGAAAGTAGTTATGGTTATTAAAGTGTGCTATATATATTAATACAAAAGTGAGTTTATATCTAACTAAACCTAACAAAATTGATATATAATATGAAAATTATTTTCACTTCAATATTTTATATCACCTGATGTAAAATTTTCAACAAATACAAACTATTAAGTCACATTTTGATTAAGGGGTATATTTAAGTAAATTTCTCTAAAAACATCTTTTTAGAGAGAAAAGGATGAAGAAAAACTAAAATAAGTTGTTTCATAAGTTAAAATTAACTTATAAATAAATTAATTTATAAAAATTCTCTTTTATTAGTTATTAGTTATGAGTTATGAAAAATAATTTTATATTCTTTTTTATTTTATTCCAAAAATATTTTTGAAGAAATACATAGAAACGTCCTTTGATCTTTGATCATTTAATTAGCTTTCTTATTCTTACCATGATTTATTCCAGTTTCCCTCATCTCCAAAAGGAACCCGAAGAGATCAGCAAGTACAAAGGTGAAGCCAGGAAGCTTGGATTGGAGGTCATGAAGTAATTGAGGCAACCTCCTATTGTAAAAGGAGATTCCCTTGTTTATTTTCTCATTACATTTTCCTCTTGGTGTTTCATGCACAGCTTTTGATGGAAAGCACCCTGCTGGAGGAACGTTGTTCACAAAAAATTTTCTTGCTCCCAGACGATGCAATCTCTGCCACAAAATTAACAATGAAAGAAATTTCCCGTTTGTGATATTATTGCTGACAAATAATGCAAACATATGAAATCTAGATTGAATCTTTGAAAGAGAAAATTCATATATATGGAACTGTTCACTCAGTGATACCAGGCATACATAAATAGTTAAGGTCCCATTCTTGTTGATTAGTATGATATAGCATATAATTAATTTCTATTAAATTTTCCTCTTAGCCTTCTCATTTTCAACACTGTACGTTTATAATTTTCCTTTTCTATGTATCTAATTTGGTTCTATTCTCATTCTAAGGAATAAAAGCTTGGACAGTTTTATTTTTTGCAAATATTACACACGTGTCGAGTTGTCACCTATTTCTGAAACTTGTCATCTCTAGATATTGCAAACACAACACGTGAAGAAACAATAGATTCCATAAAAAGTCATGGAAAAATTGAATACGACTTCATCATGCAATAAATTAATTATAACTACTGGACCTATACTAAGTTGCTGCCATGCATAGACCCACCACCTACTTGGCTTTTATCAATTATAAATTAAAATTTGATCCGGTGGAATTAAATTTTAATTATTGAATGAATAAATAAAAATTAACTATTGAATGTGATTAAGATATGGATCTAAAGTATATAAATGAACAAATAAAGGTTTTTATCTTTTCATGTATGTTTGCCTAAAAACGGGCATGTAATATGCCCCCGAAGATAGATGTCTTAATTTGTGCAAGAATATTGTTTACGAAAATAATATAATTTTTCTTGATTTGTTTTCCACATTTTGTTCAGTTAATGGCTTTAAACTATATAGGCCTATCTTTTGTAAACTGCTTAGTCTTTATTTAACTATAGTTGGCATTATGTTATAATCATAGTTAGTATTCTTATTAGAGGTTAATTTTATTTAGTTGACAATATGCATGTTTATGTATGTTGTGAGCTAAGCAAAACTAACTTCTGACAGAATGTTAACTATAGTTAACTAAGGACTAAACTTTAATATTATGGTTGTAGATATTATAAGACATTGAGGGTGAAATTAATCTTCAGTCATAATTATGGTTATGGTATGGCAAAGGAAATAGAAACAAGTATGAATAATTATGAAAACTAATGAATTGAAAATAGTCTTTTAAATAGCAATACGTGAATTTGGTTCATTTTCAATGAGATATTTTTATTTATACAATTTATCATTTTCTCTTAATAAAAATTATTGAATTCACAATTACCTGGATACGTAGGGAGAATTGATTTAGCAGGAACAAAGCAAATTTTCTGTTGCCACGGAAGGTTCCATTTGAGAAGTGATCATTCACCCCCGTAGAGACAAAAAACAAGGATTCAGACATGTGCTTCTCCAACTTCTCTTTCTCATTGAACAGCTTTGGCAAATTATGCTTAACAGTCCTATGGAAGAACTTTATCTGTTTGTCAAGTGTCAAACGCGTATCCTGCAACAATGGTACATGCATGAACTTCCGAAACAAAATAAAAAAGAGTTAATTGCCTGTTTACAACTAATCATATATTTTAATAGTGTCACGTCATTTATTTATTTAATAAAAAATAAAATAAAATAAAATAATTTAAAAAATATAATTAATTATTAATGTAAAAAACTTTACACTGACAATGTATGGAGATTAACTTAATAAAAAATGTTCACCAACTTCCAAAACTGGAAAAAAGAAATAATTAACTAACAAATAGGGTGAACGAAAATACAAAAATTAAGGAAAGGAAATAAATCAGAAATAAAAATGTTTGTATAATAAATATAGAGAAAAAATAAAAAGAAAAAAATTAATGGATCTCACTTTTTCTTTTTTCTTTTAGATCTTTATTTATTTATTTATTACATATCCACATAAATCAAATTTAAAATTAAAAATACTCACTACAAGATTATTACTGATAATTATTTAATGACAATAAATTAATTTTTTTTATTTTATTATTTAATAAAAATATTAATAATTAATATATAATAGTCACTAAAAATGTATTTATATCATACCAAAATTTACTATTAACGATAATTATTTATTTGTAAAACCGTAAGTCCCACGTCAACTAGAAATAAGATAATTAAAGAATATATAAATGGATGATAACTCTCACCTTTCAAGATTGTCTTGTAGGATTAAGTTAGATCTATAACTTACTATTCTAAGTTGGTATCAGGTTACTCACCATTATCAAACTCAAACTTGAGGGGTGTATTGCGAAAAATCTAAATCCCACATCGACTATCGATAAAATAATTAATTATTTAACTTAACAAATTTACTTTTATTTATTTATTTATTTTCTATCTCTTGCTTTTCTCTCCACAATATTTCTTTTCTACTAAAAAAGAGGGGGGGGGGGGGGGTGTTACACTTACGTTGTTGGTTTCTGGGAGAATTCCGGACCCACCAGATGCATAATTAATTCCTGTGCTGATTTTGTTCCTTCTATGATTTGAAAGACCCAAGAAGGGAGGGGCAAAGGGTAGTCCTAGATGCATGGCTTCATTGGAAGAAAGAAATGAGTTAATAATTTGTGGAAACTGGAAACACGTACTAAAAAAATTGTATCATGAATGAATTCATGTAACAATTGAAAACAACACAAAGGGCACAAAGTAATGAAAGTCTATTCCGGTGGGTTTGCGACCAATGAAGTCTATTCCGAATGAAACCAGCATATGTTACCAACGAAATCAACCAGAGTTTTTCCATTAGTAGCTCGACCGGTGGGTTTGCGACCAATGAAGTCTATTCCGAAAGGAAGATAATTTGGTCCTCCGCTTGGAAGATGGTTGTTGTTTCCACAGTCAACAAGTGAATCACCAAAAACATACATAGCTGGAATCTTTTTTGAGTGATATGAGTTCATTGCTGATGATAGGGTAAAGAGCAAAGTGATCACAAAACAAAGGGTGATGAGATAGAGGGTATTCATGTTTGGGACCATATTCAGTGTATGAGAAGAGAAGCCAAGATGGTGGGTTTGAATGTAATAAAATATTCAAGGTGGTGATTGTGGAACGATTGCTTCGGGTTTTATAGCCAGATGACTCACTAAAAAAAGAAAAAAAAATCAGAAGTACTAAAAGTAAATAACTGAACATAGCTTTAAAAATTAAAACAAGTGCAATATAAGAAATTAAAATATTTAATATTCGTCTGTCTCAGAATAAGTATTATAAGAGTTTAAATAATTTTCATCTTAATTTTTCAATGTAATATTAATTATTTCTTTTATATTATATTCTTAATAATATTATATAAAAATTAACTGTTGTGTTTCATAATAAAAAATTAATTATAAGATTTGTAGCAACTTGCATTATCACGAGATCATAAAAATACATTGAAAAATAGGGAGATGTCGTCACCAATGTTTATTTGTGTACTGACCGTACTTCGCACCCGGGCTCCGAGCCCGGATTAGCGATACAAAGCCACCCCGGGCACACGCTGAGCGACGTTAGCCCGGTATTTGGGGCCCGGTATTTGGGCAGATCATTCCCGAACCCGGGGATCTCGTCCCAGATCAGAACCGCCCTCCAATTATATCATATCATATCTCATCATATCGTATCGTATCATATCATATCATATGATATCTTATCATATCATATCATATCTTATCATATCATGTCTTATCTCAGGCTCAAGGCCCAAGACAATCCTAATTCACACAAAGGTATGTGCATTATTTATACGAGACTCATACTCCCACAAACACTAACTTTAGCATCGGAGTCTCTTTTGCAGGTACCACCCCCATCTTGGAGCACCAGCGTACCAGTGAAGGAGGCTCGCCGATCTTACCCGGCGGATCAGCTCTACAGCAGATTTCCGGTAAGAACATTTGGCGCCCACCGTGGGGCCGATCAAGACCAGCTCTTATCGGCCATTCTTATGGTTTTCACTAGAAGCCATAACAGACGCGCAACAGACGACCTAGATCGCTCAACTACCATGGATAGTGATGCAGCAACATTGAGGAGGCTGATCGACCAGGTCGAACAGATGCGGAAACAACACGCCGCCGACCTACAAAGCATGCGTGCCAAGCACGAAACTGATCTAGCAGCAACGCGCACCGCTAATGAAGCCGACCTAGCGGCACTACGCGCCGAGAACGAGCGCATTCACACCCAACTCCCTCGGCGTCCCTCAGATCAACCCCCCCCGCAGAGTAACCTGAATAAGGACGAAGGGCACTCGGTTTCACAACCGCCAACAGCGGCTAGGGCACCGACTCCCAAGCCTCCCACACATCAGTCTCACGCGCCGACGAACAGGTCGACGCACGACGTCAGCAACGCCCCTGCCCACGGCACGGGGAATCAGACAACCTTCCGCCGCCATCCTTTCGTGGACGGTATCATGGAGACACCTCTCCCCTTTGGGCGGAAGCCTTTCCACCTCGACCGCTACGACGGCACAACCGACTCGGACGAGCATATCAATCTATACACCACCCAGGTAAACCTCTATACTAATGAGGATGCTATACTGTGCAGGGTTTTCCCAACCTCGCTCAAGGGGGCTGCACTCAACTGGTATACCCAGCTACCCGCCGAGTCAATTGACAGCTTCGGCACCCTGGTCAGACGGTTCACAGCGCAGTATGCGACAAGTCAGCCTCATCACATAACGTCAGCTGCTCTAGCCAGCCTTAGACGGAGCGATGACGAACCACTACGGACGTTCATGCAATGCTT